GATTTGTGGATTTAAATAGTAAGATATTAGGGTGATTGATATCTTATGATTTTAACGGTTTTTGAGCCTTGTTTTACCTTCAAATCCTTGCATTTTCATGTCATTTAGGTTGTTTAGATTGCATTTGCATCAAGTTCTTTGTCTTTAGGTGTTTGGAGTAGAGACATGAAGAATGAAGCTAAAAGAGGAGTTTTGGACCATAAGAACCCAAGAATTGATCTAGAGAGAAGATGAAGAAAAGAGCCATAGCGACCAATTGTAGCAGGGTATCTTCCTTGCTACGGATTCCCCTGAAGATGGACACGTTTCCAGAGTTTATATCAGGCAACCATATGGACGTCTGCTCCTTGCTACGATTCATTTAAGCAATCAAAACCCGGTTTGTTCCGGGTTGACCCGCTTCATTCATGTTTTCCTATAAATACTCTTAACCTAGTTTTAGAATGGCTTATGCTTTGTTTAGAGAAAAAAAAAACTTCTCTTAAGGTTTCTTTCTAAGTTTTTGTATGAATCTTTGGTTTTGTTGAGTTTTGAATCCAAATTTCTCTTTTAATCTTTTATCTACATTCTCTAATTATGATTTCACAAAGATCAAACCTATTGCTTTGTGTAATCATGATCATGAGTGAGTAATCATTTAGAGTTCTTGGGTTAAGGTAGATTAGGATGGTTTAGTTGTTGGGTTATGGAGTTTAGGGCTAGATTACTTAAGATCCTTACTTATTGGTTGTTTATAATGCTAGATTAGCCTTGATCATGTTGATTTAGACTTTAGGGATTTCATGCCCGGAAGGTGTTCGATGAAATTCCCGAACCAAAACTTTTAAGTGCTTTACATTCCTTACCTTTGGAAATTGTTGACTAGGGTGTTAAGTGGCTAGATAGACTTGTTTATAATGCTTGTTAGTCAATTGATTGCCTTTGGAAGAAGTTGATGATTAATTGACTAGTAAATGGACTAATGTCATGGAAATGTGTTAGTGTTGCTTAGTGTTCTATGGCCTAAGGATCATTGCTTATTAGAGGTTGTTTGAAGCTCATTCCTAATCAATTTCCTTTAACCCAAGAATTCGCCTTTAGTTATTGTTTAGTAACTCGTTAATTTTCCGCTTTGTTTACTTTCGAAACTTGTTAGTCTTTTGCATTTTGCTTTCATTTGTTTTGTTTTGCATTGTTTGATTGTTATTTACTTTGTTAGTCAAGTTTACAAAACCAAATCATCTTATTAGCCTAGATTAAGCTTTTGCGTGTATTCCTAGTGAGTTGATCAATTGCAAATTGTGGTTCGATATTTAATTGAGTAAAAGTACTACATCAATTTGTTTTGGTGAGCTCAATGCCAAAATAGAGCGTTTGAATGCTCATGTTTATAGCCAATCATCATCCACTTCTAAGCGTCCCATGGGAACTTTACCGGGTAAATCGGAACCAAATCCCAAGGAGTTTTGCAACGCTATTTTCATAAATGATTTGGATATGGTTGAAAGCTACAAACAATCAAGAGAGGATGGTAGACTTGATGAGAATGAAAAGGCAATAGAAGAGATATCTAAACTTCTTTACGGTCCTAATGTTGAGAACATAGTGGTTGATAGTGATGCGAAGATCAAGAATAGTACTAATGGAAATGATGTGGTAACCAAGAGGGTTGAAAAGAAAGATGCATCTAGAGTTGAGTCTTCTCCTTATGAGCCTCCTCTTCCATTTCCCGAGCGAGTTCTTACCAAAGCTCGAAAGAAAGTTCTCTCAAGTTTCAAAGCCAACTTGAGTAGAGTTGGAGCACCTTTGCCTTGTGTGGAAAACTTGTCTCAAGTTCCTCTTCATTTTAAGTTCATCCAAGCCATTCTAGCAAACCGAGAGAAAGTGGAAGAGATCATGGGAGTATTTGATTCACCAAGCGTGACACAACCGGAACCAAAATCTATTCTCAAGCTTGGAGATCCGGGTAAATTCACCATACCTTGCTCACTTGGTGATTTACAACTTGATGATGCCTTATGTGATTCGGGAGCAAGCGTGAATGTGATGTCACTTGAGATGGTAAAGACTCTATGAGTTCAAGATATGAAGCACCACTCCTCTTCCATCATGTTTGGAGATGCTTCTTCGAAATCTCCCCTTGGTTTGATTGAAGACTACCCACTCAAAGTTGGTGATTGCATAGTTCCAACGGATTTCATGGTAGTGGAGATGAAAGAAACCCACAAGCTTCCTCTCATTCTAGGAACTCCATTTCTCAACACCGTGGGAGCAAGCATCGACTTCCCAAACAAGAGAGTTACTCTTCACCACGTGAATGCTAAGGTCTCCTATCCAATCAAGCCTTCCTCTACAAAGTTTATTGAAGGAGTGAAAACCAAGGACAAGCCTAAAAATTTGAAGGATCAACATAAAGAGATCAAAGTTATGAATGTGAAGAATAAAGATGCTCTAATGGTTGATGAGTAAATATTGGATGGTGAATGTCTACACATCTTGTTTGATGAGCACGATGGAAGTGCTAAAGAGGAGGAGTTGGGTAAAGCTAAGAAGGTTCTTGAGAAGAACAAGAGGACGATGAAAACAACCCACCCTCCCACCTTTGACAATTCACCAAGTCCTACCTCTTCAATGACTTTAACGCCTTTGTGGTATAGTGATGGAATGGTAGAGTATAAAGTCAAGTTCAAGGGTCGATCCAACCCTTTTTCATCGGTTAAAGCGATTCTCACACCGGAGTTCAAAGAAAAAGGTTCACAAAGTGTTGAAGAGTTAATGAAAGAGATCCTCACACTTGCATTCAAGGACCCTCCATGGAGCTCCACTACTCCTCCTCTCAATCTTCTCCCTAAGGCTCGCGACTAGGGCCAAGGTATGGTTCTATCTATCCTTTGTATATACCATGCATTTTGTTCTATCTTCTCTTTGTTTTTTTTGTTAGTCTTTTTCTCGGATTTATTCTCACACCGAGACGGAGTGAAATAAGTTTGGGGGAGAGACTAACCATCTAATGTTGTGTTTTGTTTTAATTTTATTTCCTTGAGTCTTGCATTGTTAATAGTTATATTTTTGAGAAAAATCAAAAAAAAAAATTGAAAATTTTGAAAAATCCAAAAAAATGCATGTAGCTTTGCATATTCATTTTTTGTTCTAAGATTGAGTCTAGAAACATTTAGTTGCATTTGCATATGCATAGGGGATAATGATTTAATCACCTTGTAGAAATTCAAGCTTAGGATTGAATTTAAAGCCCTTAATCATAGTTAATCGTTGCTTGATCATCTTGGAAAAAATGGAAAATCCATGCTTAGACCTTTGCGTTTTTCAAATGCAATTTCTACTTGTGTGAAACTTACATGATTTTGAAACATCTCTATGAATTTGAACTTAATTTGATTTTAATCTTCTCGCTTATGGATTTTAAATGCATTCTCATGGTTGTCTAAAAGACTCATTCGGGTTTTCTTATCCACTTTGCCACTCTTTTGTAAACCCGAATGGTCATTCTCACCTTTAGAATGGTTTCCCTTACCCTAAACCTTAACCTTTTCTTTCAAGCCTATGATTAATTGTGAGTGAGGCCTCTTGTTTGAAAATGCTATAGATTATGAAATCTTGAGAGTATTGAGAACGACAAAGTTTTTGCTCTTGTTTTAGCTAGCTTTTGGAACATCTTTGACTAGCTAATAGGTTGGGAATGAAAGAGTTGGGTGGTTAGATTGAATATTTGGGATTGGGTTTGGGAAAAAGGAAGAAAGAAAAATGAAAAGAAAGGTTTGACCATGCAAATAAAGAGTTCCTAGGGAATAAAGTTAAGATAAAAGCTCTAAGTCTCTAAGTTAAAAGAAAAAGAAAAGTGTGAAGTTAGTTCCCCAAAAGAAAAAGAAATTTACAAGGTTATAAGTATTGGGAGCAAAGATAAACAAAGGAAAGAGATAGAAAAAGAGCTAAGTATTTAAGAGAAATTTTTCCTAGGTGACTACAAAAAGAAAATGATCTTGAGGTTGGTGATTCAAAAAGACCAAAGTGTCTAGTGTTTGGGGTTGAAAAGAAGAAGAAAAGAATATGTAAAAAGGGTAGAAATAGGAGTTTACATCTAAGGCGGGTAGAAGAACAAGAGCTAAACTTTGTATGCATAAATTGTTCTTGGTCTTAGATGGATTTCATGATTGTCTAGCATTCCTTTTCTTGAGATAAAGCCACCAAAGTGTGAATCTTTTGAAGCCACCTCCAAAATCCTTTACCAAAACCGATTGAGAATGATTTATCTTCTATTTGCGAGACCGCGCCAAACACTTGAATGAATGTTAAAGAGATGTTTCAACTTGATTGTGAGTCTTTACTAATAGTTGGAGATTGAAATAGAATCATGCATTGAAATGAGTATGGAAAAGTACGAAAGAGTATGATGATTGACTCAAGCAAATTTGAACTATCTTTAAGGACTTTGAGTTGAATCCTTTGTTTGATATTTTGTGGCTATGAATCCCCACCTTCAAACTTCTTTCTCACCTTATCTCTTAGTTCTTGCTTGAGGACTAGCAAGAGACAAGTTTGGGGGAGTTGATATCTTATGATTTTAACGGTTTTTGAGCCTTGTTTTACCTTCAAATCCTTGCATTTTCATGTCATTTAGGTTGTTTAGATTGCATTTGCATCAAGTTCTTTGTCTTTAGGTGTTTGGAGTAGAGACATGAAGAATGAAGCTAAAAGAGGAGTTTTGGACCATAAGAACCCAAGAATTGATCAAGAGAGAAGATGAAGAAAAGAGCCATAGCGACCAATTGTAGCAGGGTATCTTCCTTGCTACGGATTCCCCTGAAGATGGACACGTTTCCAGAGTTTATATCAGGCAACCATATGGACGGCTGCTCCTTGCTACGATTCATTTAAGCAATCAAAACCCGGTTTGTTCCGGGTTGACCCGCTTCATTCATGTTTTCCTATAAATACTCTTAACCTAGTTTTAGAATGGCTTATGCTTTGTTTAGAGAAAAAAAAAACTTCTCTTAAGGTTTCTTTCTAAGTTTTTGTATGAATCTTTGGTTTTGTTGAGTTTTGAATCCAAATTTCTCTTTTAATCTTTTATCTACCTTCTCTAATTATGATTTCACAAAGATCAAACCTATTGCTTTCTGTAATCATGATCATGAGTGAGTAGTCATTTAGAGTTCTTGGGTTAAGGTAGATTAGGATGGTTTAGTTGTTGGGTTATGGAGTTTAGGGCTAGATTACTTAAGATCCTTACTTATTGGTTGTTTATAATGCTAGATTAGCCTTGATCATGTTGATTTAGACTTTAGGGATTTCATGCCCGGAAGGGATTTAGACTTTTGCTTTCCCTACTGTCTACTATGTTCTATTCTAGTGAATGGTTTTGATTTTCGATTTGTTCTGTGAGATGCTTTGTTATATGAATTCTGGAAACTGTTTTTCTGTTTAATAGTTTTCGGAGACGAAAAATGTGATGGTTAATAAATACCAAGGCAAAGCTTTTCTATTGATTGGGAAGAAGCATGTTCATAAGGAAAATGCAAAATTTAGAGGTACAATATTTGAACACACTTGTTGTCTTCTCGTCTTTATTCTCAAGGCTTAAAAAGCTTTCATGTTTTGTTCTCTGTTAGGAATAAATTTCCCAACCCACCAATGGTCTGTGCTCAAGAACAACTTCTCAGCGATAGAGGAAGCTATTAAGCACTTCCAGTTAAAAAATGCGTAAGAATGTTACCTTATTTATCATGTTCTCCCTAGCCAATCCTTTTGCTGTTGTGGACCGCTTATCTTGTTATACAACGTTATGCAGAACACCAAATGCAAATACTTGTGAGGCTTTGGATAAGAGCAGTCAAGGTTTTTCTCTTATCGAGACTTCGCGATTTGATGGGAGGAGTTATCTTTCATGGGCATCACAGATGGAACTTTTTTTGAAGCAAATGAAGCTGGCTTATGTACTCTCTGAACCTTATCCTGGTACTGGTAGTGGTAGCTCTCAAGATTGGTTGAGAGATGATTATCTTTGCCACAATCACTTGATGAAATCCTTGTCTGATGATCTATACCGTCAATACTTGAAGAAATTCAAGCATGCTAAGGAACTATGGGACGAGTTAAAATGGGTTTACCACCGTGAGGAATACAGTTCTAAGAGGACACTAGTCAGAAAGTACATTGAATTCAAAATGGTTGAAGAGAGACCTGTTCTCGAGCAAGTTCAAGACTTTATCAAGATTGCAGATTCCATAGTGGGTGCTGGTATGCTTCTTGATGAGACGTTTCATGTCAGTACCATCATTTCCAAGTTTCCTTCGTCGTGGAGAGGCTTCGTCACTAGATTGATGGAAGAGGAGTTTCTACCAGTCTCGATGTTGATAGAACGAGTAAAAGCTGAGGAAGAGTTTCTCAGAAGTGGAAAAAAAAGGGTTACAGTTTGTCCAGCCACAGGGTCTTCTCAGATGGAAATGAGACCGAGTCTAGGAACAACGCTTACAGGATCTCAGAGTATAGGTGTGAAGAGGAAAGAACCCGAGAGAGTCATCATATCTGATGAGAAAGCTCCCAAGAAACCAAATCAGATGACTTCTTCAGTCACCGCATTTGTGGATTCAGAGACTCAAGTAAGAACCAACAATGAGGAGTAGTAGCTGATAATTTGCTTAAACAAAGAGTATAAAGAACTGTTCAAAATCTGTTTTTCGTTTCAAATGCAGCTCTTGATTACTCAATAAACAGACACCAATTAAGATCGCATGCTTTAACAAATCTCTTACAACAGAACCAAAAACTTTTGGTCATCAACTGAACTTATCAAAATCATTGTTACACATTTTGAAATAAACTTAAAAGTAACGAATAAAACAGCAGTTTAACTACTAAGGTAGAATCTGCAGAGGGTGTAGTAGAACTCCAATGAGGAGTTAACTGTTAACAAGCATGAGAGATCAAAGTATACATTAACTGAATTATAAAAGTGTTACAATTTCAATGTATTCATACATACATCATTGTTTTTTTTCTATAATGAACTAATAATTTTTGAGAATTAAACAATTATAAGTTCAAAATAAAATATTATTGGAATTTGGGAAGTGATAACATTGTTCTCATCATGACAAGTGTTTTTATCAAGACGTATTAAGGTGCAATTTGTTTGTCCGGTATCTTCTAGAACCAGATTCTATTTCAATTGTGATTTTGCATCTGTTACTACCTTTAGAAAAAAAAAAAAAATTAATAGTTTGGAGATTAATCTATTAGTTAAAAATCTATTTAATAAAATTAATTATCCTACTAATATTTAAAAAAGGAAGTACATCTTAAAAAAATGTAGAATATTGCATTATATGCCATTGGCATAAAGAAGAAAAAAATCATTAAGGGTATAAATATGATCTAAGTTTTTTAAATTTTTTTATCTTTATATCCAAACAAATCTCACAAACTGTTCTCTATTATCCATGTAATCAAACACCCTAATAATTAATTACAACATCTTTGTATTTTGTTTCAAAATAAAAGTACATATCTCTTTATGGAATATAATCTTCTAATTGCTCAATATTTTATTTTTCTTAATAAAATTAAATAAATAAAAACATGAATAGTATTTCAAAAAAAATTAATAACAATGTTCATCAATATAGTAATTTCTTTTATAAATAAAATTTCTATCAAAAAGAGTAAATAAGTTGAATATTATGAACAAATAATACTAAAATATGAAAAACATTTATAGATAACCGATAAAGTTTATTTTTCTCATTTATTTATTTTTAACGGGATATTTTAATATTTCATTTATTTTAATATAGTATTCATCATGTATTTAATTATTTGTTGACTGCGTTTTTGATATGTTTTATCACTTTGTAGTTAACTTTCACTTTTAGTCAATTTTTAGAGATTTTTTTCCTATATGTGTTATTATGATCTTTAGACTTTAGCCATGCATTTCCGGAATCTAATTTTCTTTTCTACTTTTTATAGTTCGTGCATGCATCTAATTTCTTATATATACATTATACAGTATTCACGTGTACATAACCATTACATCCATCACTTTTTGAAGTTTTCATTTCGATTCTATTATCAAAGATGTCTAAAACCACCGTTATTGCTATTTTCATGATCGTCCTCGTTCTAGGTTTGATTCAAACTTTCACATATTATACAATTAATCATTTAAAATATGAATTCATATTACATATTTTCATGCATGTGTCTTCTCATTTGTTTGATAGTTTCTTTAATTCGTCGCCTTTTATTTTTAAAAACAATTTTTTTTTGAGATTATATATGTCTAAATATTTATATTAGGGCTGGTGACAAAGGAGACGCAAGGACAAGAATTGTGTCATGACTATATGTTAGGAGCAGAACCATGTGAAGAAGACAAGTGTGTCGCTAAGTGTATTTGGAGGCATGGCACAGGTGGAAAAGGCTCGTGTATGCCAAAGCCAAGCAAGCAATGCCTCTGTACTTATAGTTGCAGTGTTTGATTTTTATTGTTCTCTCTATAAACTATTCTCAATTCTTATAATAAAATAATATATCTTAATTTTAATGTGTTTGTGAATTATGATTTCAATTATTTGGCATAAACTATAAATTGGTATACTTTTACCATATATATGTGCGTAATTCATATATTCGCTAGGTTTTGAAAATTAGTTTCTCGGAAAATAACAGAAATTTGAAAATGACAATACAGTACGATGATGTCCCAATAAACGTTCAATCATATTATTCTTCTTAAAAAGTTATGTACAAAGCATGGATTTCTTTGAGAAGACAATGATCGTAGCTTGCTGATCGTTTGTCTTCTTGTCATCTCTTTTGTCCTCCATTTTCTAATCTCTGTTTTTAAATTGGTATACCTACATTGTTAAATTTTAATTTTTAAGAACTCTCCCCTGTAACAAAAGTGTTTTGCAGGCTTAATCAGTTTAACATTTCATCAAAACAGAGTATGTTAATTTACGTTTGTTATTGGTCAATTAGATTTTGAAATGTAATATTTTTCAAAATTCATTTAGCATGTATGTATTAAACAAAAGAACAATGACTGTTGGTTACTTTCTATCAAAATGTGTCCGAATTATCTGAAAATAATTCCTTTATATTCGGGTTCATAAATGTAACTTTGGATATTTGAGTTTTTATATGTATAACTAATAATTTTAAATATATACTTATATTTCGGATACATTCAGGTATTTATAGGTAGTAGGTTCGGTTCCAGATTGTTCGTGTTGGGAGATTTAAGATCCATTCATGTATTTCTAATAAATCGGTTCATATATTTTTGGATCGGTTTGGTTCTGTGCGGATATTCGATTCCGGTTTTTTGTGCACAAGATTAATGAAGAAGGTGAAGTGGTTTGTTTCTTTATGTTAAACCGTTCGGGACGGATAAATCGAACGAATCGAATTGAAGTGATACCCGAACTCAATTTATAAACATGTTGATCAGTAAAACTCTCAAGCCGAACTTAAAACCGAAAATCTCGATTCGCTTCGGATCAGGCATTTTCGGCTCGGTTTCTTGTCACAAGTCTACTCATAACCAGTTGTAGACATTGACTCCTATTGGTAACCATAAAAAAAAAACAATAGAAATTAAAAAAAAAAGAATGAATGAAAAACAGAAACAAAAAGCAAAGAAAAATGACCAAAATGAGGAACAAAAAGGAACATATGTAAATGAGTAGTAGCCGATAATTTTCTTAAACAAAGAGTTTAAAGAACTGTTCAAAACATGTTTATCGATACAGATGCATCTTAATTACTCAATAAACAGACACCAATTAAGATCACATGCTTTAACAAATCCCTTACAACACAACCAAAAACTTTTGGTCATCAACTAAATTCATCAAAATCATTGTTACACATTTTGAAATAAACTTATAGTAACGAGGATATTTTGATGTTTGGACGGATATCCAAAGTCTGGATAGTTAAAAGTCGGATCCGAATATCCTGATAAACTCAAGATATTCGGACTGTTACACCCCTTATCTCATGCATAAGTGTTTTATTTTTCTTGTGTTCTTTCTTTGAATGTAACGCAATCCCGTCTTAATTAATTAGAGGGCCTTTAGCAAAACCAAAAAAAATAAAAAAAATTCTTACTAAAATTTATTTTTCAAAAAAACTGGGCTCTTTTTACTTAAAGAAAAATTTGAAATTGGGTTTGGACCCATGGAAAAAACTTATGTTGTCTATGGGTAGAGACGAGCTTGCAACGGTAGCACAAACACTATTCCCGGGCTCTACAATCTTCTCAAAACCGTAGTTTAACTACTAAAGTAAAATATGCAGAGGGTGTAGTAGAACTCCAATGAGGAGTTATTATCTGTACTAGTATTTTTGAAGTACATTTTTAACGGGTGGGATAAAATGCATTTGGATACAATGAGTTTTCGACCTGTTTACAAATTTTGGTCATAAAAAGTTTGTTGTGTCGGGTTATATTTAACCCAACTCGTACACCGAATATTCAATATTTACTAATTTAGATATTTATAAGATTTGATTAAGATTTAAAATTATGATTCTCCTATCATCTTTATTTGATTTGTTTTTAACTATTTTGAATCATCATATAATACATAAAATATTAAAAAATCAATTTTTTTTTTGCTGCATATACTGTGATTCAAAATTTTAAAAACGGATATATATTATCCAATTGACGAAAAATATGTGTTCAACGTTTCACATACTAAAATATTTAGACAATTATTCAGAATAATATCATAAATAACATCAACATTATTAAATTAAGTGTTTTTTTTTGCGGGATGGGTTTGGCGAGACATGTTTTGTATCAATAATAAAAAATATAAATATATCATTAATCCGCCGTTGGAATAAGGATTAAATCCTTAATTGTTTTTTAATACCACCAATATTAGACATATCGAATCAGTCTCATTTAGAAAATATTGTATAAAACCAAAAATTGTCCCGTGTATAATGTTACTTAATAACAATTGTAAACTATAAAATATAAATATCTTAGAGAATGATACAATTTGCAAACTTTTATATATAATAAATAATCGTTAAATTTTTAAAATTTCTACTTTTAGATAACAAATCACGGGACATGTAAGAAATTACAGGATGGGTTATCTTTCGGAACGGAGTTATATGGTGGACGAGTTTGAATCAATATTTGCAAAATTTTAAAATATCATTAACATGCCGCTTTAATACGGATGAAATCCTCAGATTATTAAAATATACATATCTTAGAGAATGATATAATTTGTAAAAATAATCACTAAATTTTCAAATCACTACTTTTAGAAAACAAATCACGGGACGGGTTATGAAATTACGGGACAGGTTATATTTCGGAACAGATTTATATAGCGGACGGATTTGAATCAATATTTATAAAATTTAAAAATATCATTAACATGCCGCTTTAATATGGGTTAAATGCTCAGTTATTAACAATTGTTCTATGGACTCGTGGTATACTGTTACTTAATAACAATTGTAAACTCTAAAATATAAATATTTTATAAAGAGATACAATTTGCAAAATTTTATATATACTAACTTTAAAAAATAAATCATTCCGCGGTGTACAGCGGGTTAAAATCTAGTTTAGAAACTGTTAACAAGCATGAGACATCAATGTATATATACAGTAACTGAACTGAATTATAAATGTGTTGAATTTCATTATATACATAGATACATCATTGTTTTTTTCTGTAATGAACAAATAATGTTTGAGAATTAAAAAATTATAAGTTCAAATTAAAATATTATTGGAGAATTCTTTTATAAACCATGAGTTGAGAAGTGATAACATTGTTCTCGTCATGACAAGTATTTTTATCAAGACGTATTAAAGTGCAATTTGTTTGTCTGGTATCTTGTAGAACCAAATTCTATTTCAATTGTTTTGCATCTGTTACTACCTATATAAAAACAAATTATTAATATTTTGGAGATTAAACTATTAGTTAAAAATCCTACTAATATTGAAAAGGAAGTACATCCAAAAAATTTGACGAATATTGCATATGCCATTGGAATAAAGAAAAAAAAATCATTAAGGGTAAATATCTAAGTTTTTTTAATTTTTATATCCAAACAAATCTAACAAATCGTTCTCTATTATCCATGTAATCAAACACCCTATTAGAATCAATTACAATATCTTTGTATTTTGTTTCAAACTATAAGTACATATTTCTTTATGGAACATAATCTTCTAATACTCTGTTTTTCAATTTTTATTTTATTTTTTCTTCATAAAATAAATAAATAGAAACATGAATAGTATTTCAAAACATAAAAATATACATTCATCAATATATTAAGTTCTTTTATGAATAAAATATATATAAAAAGGAGTAAATAAAGTTGAATATTTAATCACTTTGTAGTTAATTTTCATTTTTAGTCAATTTTTAAAGATATTTTCCTATATTATTATGATCTTTAGGCGCCATTTCCAGAATTTAATTTTCTTTTTTACATTTATAGTTTGTGCATGCATCTAATTTCTTATATATAGGGTATATTCACGTGTACATAACTATTACAGCCATCGCTTTTCATTTTTGAAGTTTTCATTTCGATTATATCATCAAAGATGTCTAAAACCACTATTATCGCTATTTTCATGGTCGTCCTCGTTCTAGGTTTGACTCATGCTTTAACATATTATACACTTAATAATTTAAAATATGAATCCATATTTTCACGTGTTTTCTCATTTATTATTTGATGGCTTTTTTATTCTTTGCCTTTTATTTTAATAGCAAAAGAATTGAGATTATGTTTAAAAATATTTATATTAGGGCTGGTGACCAAGGAGACGCAAGGACAAGAATTCTGCCATGACTATATGTTAGGAGCAGAACCATGTGAAGAAAACAAGTGTGTCGTTATATGTAGTTGGAAGCACAAAGGTGGAAAAGGCGCGTGTATGCCATTGCCAAGCAAGCAATGCCTCTGTCGTTTTAGTTGCACTGTTTGATTTTTCTTGTTCTCTCTATAAACTATTGGGTGAATTTGCCCAGTAGCCATATTTGGACCAAAAATAAAGAATATAGCCATCTAATTTGAGAAATTAAGCAAGTAACCAAAAGCCCTAAATACTTACAAGCTAATTACAAGCCCACCCTTACATTATTTATCTATTTTCTAATTTGCCATAACGATGAAACGCAGAAGCTTCTTTCCATCGGAGCTACAGCTTTTGCAATCAGCGGCGGTGTTATTACAGCAAAGTCAGCAACGATCTTGTACGGCCACCGGAGCACTCGTCGTCGGAGATACCACCATTGCTATCGCACCGCCGTTGCAATCCCTTAACACCACTAAATCCCTCCAAAAAATACAAAACATATTAACCTTTTTTTTTTGTTGGGTGTTAGTTATTTAATTAATGATTTTTTTGTTGTCACTTTCGCAAATTTCTCTAAACTATTCTCAATTCTAATAATAAAATAATATTTTTCAATTTTGATTTGTTTGTGAATTATGATTTCGATATGCTATAAATCTAATTGAAAATTGAAAATGACAATAGAAAGCGTTATTATTTTTTTTTATCAAAAACGTTACTAAAAGTTTACTCTCAGTTTTTTTGCACTATTTTGAAAAAGCTTACAGCTCCAGCTAACAACTAAAAAATTTGTACAGTTTTGTGTTACCAATCGAATCTAATATATAGTTCAATCATATTATTTTTTTTCTTTAAAAACTATGTACAAAGTACAGTATACTGACTTTTTGCCGCAAATGGATTTATTCGAGAAGACAATGAAGCCTACTGCTCGTTTGTCTTTCAATCTTTTCTGTCCTAGTATTTTTTTCATCTCAGTTTTAAGACCTATGTTTCTAAATTTTAAGTTTTGAAAACTCTCCCCTGTAAATATTCTTTTTTATGGCTTAATCAATTTAACATTTCATAAAAGATAAAAAAGAGTATTTTTTTTTTACCAAAAAAGAAAACTAACAACATATTTACATATGTTAGTTTACGTTTTATTGGTTAATTAGATTTTGACATGTAAATTTTCTTAAAATTCTGAAAATTCATTTAGCGTGTATATTAAACAAGAAGGTAAGAAACAATGAGTATTGACGTTTAAAATAATAATATAGTTATTTAACATTAAGTTACTATGATAGAAATTGAATTTATCATTGTTGTGTAATAGTATCTTTTATTTGGGACCGAAACACACAATAAAAAAAGACTAATGAACTTTTTTTTTTTGTCAAACAAACATTAATTAAAAGATCACTCCATGATTGATAGCTAAATCGGTAAAAAAAAGTTTACAATATAATAACACAAGGGAAGACGGTTTTTTTGTGAAAAAAATAACAAATTGTCGGCAAGCTATTTCTAAATGGCGGAAAAATTTGACACCGTATGGTCGAGAGCTAATAGATGATCTGAAAAAAGATCTTGTATTAGCACAAAATGATGATTCGAAATCTTCGGAGGAGATTACAGAATTAACTCTTAAATTAAAGGAAGCATATCGGGATGAAGAACTTTATTGGTATCAGAAGAGCCGGAACTTATGGATGAATGTGGGAGATCATAATTCAAAATATTTTCACGCCCTAACTAAGCAGCGGCGCGCTAGAAACCGTATTTCTGGTCTTTATGATGACAATGGTATTTGGGTATCGGAGGAGAAAGATATTCAACAAGTAGCGGTCAATTATTTTGGAGAATTATTCACCACCTCTAACCCAAATAACGTGGATGATACATTAAAGGAAGTGGAAACGTGTATCTCTGATCAAGTCAATCAGGACTTAACGGCACCGGTTACGGAGCAAGAGGTTCGATCGGCATTATTTATGATGCACCCAGAGAAGGCCCCTGGCCCAGATGGTATGACGGCTTTATTTTTTCAAAAGGCTTGGCATACTATCAAAGCGGACCTTCTTCACTTGGTCAATTCTTTTTTACAAAGTGGTTCTTTCGATAAACGGTTAAATTTGACTCATATTTGTTTGATACCAAAAATAGGGAGACCAACAAAAATGATGGAACTGAGACCAATAAGTCTCTGTAATGTTGGGTACAAAATCATATCTAAGGTTTTATGTCAAAGACTTAAAAAAGTACTACCGACTCTTATCTCGGAAACACAATCGGCTTTCGTCCAAGGAAGATTAATTTCGGATAATATTCTTATTGCACAAGAAATGTTTCATGCACTAAGGACTAATCCTTCTTGCAAAGGAAAATACATGGCTATTAAAACAGACATGATTAAAGCTTATGACCGAGTAGAATGGTCTTTCATAGAAAGTTTACTTCAGAAGATGGGCTTCTGTGATAAATGGGTATCTTGGATAATGTGGAGTATTACATCAGTTCGGTACAGAGTTTTAATTAATGGTCAGCCTCGGGGATTGATAGTTCCTGAAAGAGGTTTAAGGCAGGGGGATCCGCTATCACCATATTTATTTATTTTATGTACAGAGGTGTTAATTGCAAATATTCGGAAAGCAGAAAATGATAAGATTCTAACGGGGATGAAAGTTGCGCAACCAAGCCCCTCGATATCTCATTTACTGTTCGCGGATGATAGTTTATTTTTTTGTAAAGCAACCAAAGAACAATGTCACGTTGTTTTAGATATATTAAAGAGGTATGAGGAGGCTTCTGGCCAACGAATAAATTTCTCGAAATCATCAATTCAATTCGGTCATAAGGTAGACAATTCTATCAGAGATGAACTAATGGCAATTTACGGTATTACTAGTATAGGGGGCATGGGAAAATATTTGGGCTTACCAGAAAGCTTAGGAGGATCAAAGACAAAAATATTCTCATTTGTTAGAGAACGCTTGAATGATAGAATAAACGGTTGGTCTGCAAAATTTTTATCAAAGGGAGGTAAAGAGGTGATGATTAAATCGGTTGCTAATGCACTGCCGACTTATGTAATGTCTTGTTTTAGATTACCTAAGTCGGTGACATCAAAACTCACTAGTGCAGTAGCAAAATTTTGGTGGAGTTCAAATGGACAAACGAGGGGTCTACATTGGAAGGCCTGGGATAAGCTTTGTCGTAGCAAATCGGATGGTGGAATTGGTTTCCGGAATGTAGATGACTTTAACACAGCTTTGTTAGCAAAGCAACTATGGCGGTTGATTACAGTCCCTGATTCCTTATTCGCAAAGGTATTCAAAGGAAGATATTATCGGAACTCAAATCCCATGGACCCAATTAGATCATACTCACCGTCTTATGGATGGCGAAGTATAGTATCTGATCGACCTCTGGTTAACAAAGGGCTTATTAAAAGAGTAGGTTCAGGAGAGTCAATTTCAGTATGGAATGATCCCTGGATACCTGCTCAATTCCCGAGGCCAGCTTTAAGCAACGGTCAAAATCATGACCCATCTCTTCTTGTGAAGTGTTTGATTAATAGTCAAACAAATTCATGGGATATGGAATTAATTAGGACTCTTATTGATCCTAAGGACATTCCTATGGTATGTGCCCTACCTTTGGGCTTGCAAAACAGTCCGGATGTCATGGGGTGGCACTTTACAAAAACCGAAAAATATACGGTTAAGTCTGGATATTACACAGAACAAATGATGAAACAAGGTGAAAATCAAACTCGTTATTTTGGACCGGATATACGGCCGTTACAGGCTAATTCATGGAAACTTCAATGTCCACCGAAGTTGAGACACTTCATTTGGCAAGTGCTTACTGGATGTGTGCCGGTAAATTCAAATTTAAGGAAAAGGGGTATCAATTGCGAAACGGGTTGTGGTAGATGTGGGGCACCCGAAGAAACAATTAACCATACAATTTTTGAATGCCCCCCAGCCCTACAAACTTGGGCACTATCGCAAATACCAACGGCCCCTGGAATTTTCCCATCATCATCACTATATGTGAATATGGATCATTTATTTTGGAGGACACCAACGGATTCCCATAGTTACAATTTTCCTTGGATTATGTGGTACATCTGGAAAGCACGGAATGACAAGATACATGAAAACATTGACAGAGATCCCAGAGATACTCTGAAATTAGCGGATAATGAAGCAAATGCTTGGACTTTAGCTCAACTGGAGATGGTAAAGGACGTACCGCCCCGTGAGTCAGCTGAGTCAGAGGTTATAAACACTACAGGGTATCGATGTTTCATTGACGGCTCTTGGAAAGACAGTGACAACTACTCGGGTTTAGGATGGTTCTGTACACTACAAGGTGAGGATGAACCAACCATGGGCGCTGCCAACCTCCGACGAAGTCTCACATGTCTACACACAGAAGTGGAAGCATTAGTTTGGGCCATGAGATGTATGATTGGCCAAGACAAACGCGAAGTAAGTTTCTATACAGACTGCTCAGACCTGGTGAAGATGGTGTCTTCCCCGACGGAGTGGCCAGCTTTTTCTCTTTATCTTTGATTTCTCGACGTGCAAATTCAAAAGCGGATAATCTGGCACGAAATGTTCGTACCCAACCGCATCTAATTACCTATGTAAACAATATCCCCCAAAATTGGCTTGTATAAGCTAATCTAATAAAGTTGTTGACAAAAAAAAAAAAAAAAAAAAAGTTTACAAATAGAAATTCAGAAAATAATAATTTAGAAGATCGAGCTAGACAATCCGTTTTAGAATTACAAGAAGAAAAGATATTAGCTAGGGAGAACCCGAGAAAGAAAACAGAGCAAATTTTTATTGATATATATATTTCTGAACTCTTATCCATTTATTTGTAGTGCATATAATTAAAATCTGATTATATATGATGGAATAGATAATTAAGTTGTAATGCAAAATGGGATGTGTGAGATCCAAATCTGGTTTCTGACTGGTAGCCTTGTCGGAAAAGCTTCAGCTACTATTTCAGACATTTTTCCGATGACATTTTCCCAACGACTATCTTTTGTTTTAAATTTGTCGTTAATATACTGTCGGTATTGAATCAGAAATTTTTGACGATCAATGCCGTCGGATACAAAAAGGTTTTACCGACGAAATTCGTAGTAGGAATTAAGCTGTTTTCTTTCTACTCCTCCATGTTGGCTTTGTGAAGAAGATACATACATATAGATTAAACTATACTCAATTCAACTATTATTAACTCAACTTTAAACAAATTGAATTCCAACAAGGCTCATATGATACCAGTATCGGACCCGTGTTTACAAACAATTTATTTGATATTTAATCTTAGAACATATATTTAGTTGTAAATCAAATCTGCAAAAGAGAAAGTAATAAGAAGACTCATCGTAAAATTGAAGAAAGACTTAATATTGTCAGTTAAATCATTCACTTAGTAATTGGTCGATGCACTGCATTAAGTGGAAGTTTCTTGTTAGATATATATCCAATTTATCCTGAAAAAAAAAATCAAAGAAAAATTGGTTCTTTATGAAAGAAAGGAAAGATATGAAGAGCTCAAAGCACCAAATGTATAGAGAGATAGAGCCTACCTGGGAGGAATTGGATTTGGGACATTCACGAGCAAAATGTCCAGCTCCTTTACTTTTGTAGCATACACTCGGTGAGTCTCTGCCCTGTGAAGTGTTTATGCTCGATGAATTCAGGCATTCACCTGAGAAATTCCCTTCTTCGCTACAGTTTTCTGAAAAGCGTACGCTAGAAGAATTGGGGCAGTCACGCTTAAAATGCCGTCCTCCCCCAAACTTAGAGCATGATGGACTGAAAAAATCATTTTCGTTGCTTTCATCATGGTGTCTACCACATGCCTAGAGAGAAAGTTATATTAATAACTAGATACTAAATTATGTATATTTTTTCTAACTAAAATCTCAACAACTTACCAGTCCAGTATGACCCAGTTGACCACATCTGTAGCAAGATACAGCCCAGGACGGTGAATTATCGGGTTCGACACAGCATAGATGGCCAAAGCTTTTACAGACATAGCATTGTATATCCTAGTCAAAGTAAATAATAGAAGTTATAAGAAAGGAATCATAACCAAAGTATTAAATTTCAGGAAAACAAAAGTCACCTTTAAATCTTCCTTAGAGTACTCATACTTGCACAAAATCATGTCATGACCAAAGTCTCCACATCTTAAACACACAGCTCCTTTAGACCCACTATTGTGCTTATCCGGACAATCTTTAGCTCGATGTCCACCTTTATTGCATATATAACAATCATGTCCCTGTAGAAATAAAGAAAAATTTACTCAGAAACCTTATGCCAAAAAAGGAGACTACTCATCCTAAATCTTCCACGGCCACCACATAAAACACTTCTACAAGGTTATATATGAGCTTTAAAGAGTGCGGCAGACAAATTTAAGTTGTACCATCAAACTTAAGACCGCACCTTAGAACACTGCTTTGCACCATGTTCCAAACTCCCACATATAAAGCAAGGCTTTCTACGCTTGGTAGGAGTTGGACAATTGACAGTTATATGACCTTGCTCACCACAGCTATAACAAGTCACCCAACCAGCATTAAGAGGGTCAAAGTATCTTGCTCCACGCTGATAACACAAGACCCCAACAATGGTCATCATCACAGAAAAGTTACACAGTTTTGAGATAAGAGTAACTATTCAATCAACTCACAAGAAGCTTATCCAGAACCAAATTGCTAGATGTTTCTCCAGTTTTTGGTTCAGTCGATTTCTCAACCTCATCATCCTCGGGCTGATACAAATGTAGGAAAAATCAAAAAGCATTAAATACATGCAACAAAGTTTCCGAAGCAAATAGTATCAAATTGCAAATTCAAGGCTATGATAGAGCAAGAAGAACATTAATGAGGCAACAATGGAGCATTAATTGGTAACTGTAATGAGAAAATAGAGAAGAGAATCGTTCATACTTACAATTTCGTGGGCAGCTTCAAGCTTATGTCTCTTCATCTTCTTATTACTCTCAGAATTTTTACCTTTAGACTTTCCTCCATTAACCATCACAGTACTAACTACACCAGAATCAGAGAGATCAGAATCAAGCTTGTTCCCAACATCACGGCATGACTCAGGGATCAAAATCCTAAATCCAAATTTCTAAATTTCGAATGATTTGGCTGAGGAAGAAGAAGATTTAGGTAGGGTTTGTTTTTGTTCGGTTTATAAATGAAACAATTAAATAACCGGTTTACCATAACCGGATTAATCAAGCTATAACCAAGAACCGACTATTTCGTTATCGGCACCGATTGTGAGTGGAACTTGAACCGATCGAATTGGGACTGATTGGGTTATGGTTCGTGGTTCGACGGTGTCCTCAGGCTAAATCTGACACCAATCTCTTCGTCTCTGGTAATAAACCCTTTTGATTTAGGTTTTGCAGCAATTAGTCTTGTTTTGGTGTCTTTCTAATCTCACTCACAGGAGTGTGGGATCTCTTATTTGGAATATATACAAGTATATTTTGATCCTACGACTGATATATTTTTAGTGCTCTAATGTTGGGTTTATAATAGAATTGAATTCCATTTGATCAGAACCAAAGAACTATTTGTATCTTTTGATCCGAGACTTACTGTGTTAGAGAGAATCTCAATCTTTGATAGGTCAGACTAAGATTATGTATGGATTTATATGTGTTATGACTTATTATGAGTAGCTTACTTCATGTTTTGAATCCAAGGGTTGTGATGAAATAGTATAAAATTTGCAGCTGATAAACTTGCTTGAAACCTTGTATAGGCCAATTTGTTCTGTTCTTGGTAATATTCCTTGTGTTCTCTCCAATTCTCTTACTTTTTTTTGTTTATGTCAGGGATGAATCTTTCTCTGTTCAAGAAAGATATCGATGAGCTCATAGACGAGTTTGCAGAGGTATTTTTTTTATTGTTATAGCTCAAGGAGAAATTTGAATTTCCCCTCTTTTCCATCTTTCAATTTGTTGAATCTCTTCTGGTTTTCATTTCAGGGTGATTTGACAACGTTTACTGATATGAAGAGCGTTTGGCTATCCCGAAAGTTTTCTTATTTATATGATGCTAGTCCTACAAGCAACTTGGCCTTTTTCATGCAGTCACTATATGCACATACAATCGGTATGATGAGGTCTAATTTCTGGATTTTTTTGGAATAGTTTGCATTCACCTTGTGCTAGTTTCTTAGCTAAGCTTACAAGCCAACCTTATATCTATAGGTCACATGGTTAGTATTGATTCTTTTTCACGAAGACTTGGAGGTCTTTACTGTCTCTATTGCCTTCATGAGATCCAACCCTTTAAACCCAAGTTCAGAATTTATATCTCACTTGGTAAGTGTCTACCTTTTGTCGTTTTGGCTGTGAGCTTTTATAATCTGTAGATAACAGTTTGATCTAACTATCATTTTTTACTAGTTTCTTTCTTCAAGCCCAAAACGTGAAAGCTGCTGTGATGTGAATGTGATTCATTCATTGGGTTTTTGCTGATTTTAACTTGTTTTTTTTTTTCTTGCAATTCTTTCGATGCTCTCTTTATCGCATCTTGTAGAAGAGCTCGGGAAATTTAGGGACCTTGTAGTTGAGGCAGAAGATAAAGGTGTAGAGATAGTTGCTGCTGTGGCAAAACAAATGCTTGATAAGAACATGTTTATCTTTGGATCTGTGGAGGAAACTTCTGCAACCATGAAACTTAATCAATTAACAGAGCTACAGAACGCACGTGTGCGGTTTGCCTATGATAGGTAAGTGATTTTGATCGTTGGTTTTTTCTCGGAGGACTAACAATCGTAATTTGAAATAACCTTTTTAGTGATATGATTTTCATCTTGACTTGCCAGGTTAATCTCTGACACTACTATTGAGCAATATATTCATTTGGATATGGTGAGTACGAGATATTAAAGCATTTACATTCCCGGAATTTGCATAATTGTATATCTCTAGTGCTCTTTCCCCAAGATAGAAGACCAAAGGATATATATGTCCAACAGTTTTAATTGTATTCTTTGCTAAAGTGTCTTATATTGCACCATCCTTGCTGCTTTTGTGCTTATCAGGGTAAGGAAGTTAATCTGAATTCCCTAGATGAAATGTCTATAGAATATGCAGAGGCCAAGAAGCGTGCAATCGAAGGTTTGCTACTTTCATATGAACTGTTTGGGCGCATAATTGTTATTTCTCCTCCCATCCCATCTCTGAAAGAGCAAAATTGTAAAGTTTATTTGATTTTGAGCTCTGTGAGATTTTAAGCATGTGTTTAGTAAAGTTTTTTGTGGTACCATCATGATTCAGTATGTTTATATACTTGTTTTCATATTCTTTAAGGTGCAGGAGAAATAATGGAGATTGAGGATATAAAGCACATATCAGAAGAGAAAGAGTTGATGGGAGAGAGAATGGAGAAAATGAAAGAAGAATGGGATTCACAAAGACTTTCATTTTATGAACAAACCAAGCTTGATGGTCTTACTACGACACCGAAACTGTTGAAAGATGTGGAACATGATGAAGATGATGGGTTTGATGAGCTTGATCGCTTACTTTCTCAAAGCTAGTGTTGCCATTGCAATCGCCGTTCAAGGTTGATGGATGACCACAAATGAAAACTCTATGTAGATATGGCATTTACAGGTAGGTTTTGCGTCAATCGGACTCTGTATGAAAATGTTTATTTTTGGTTCTGATGATGAATTTTTGATTAGGCAATATCAGAGTCAGGTTGTTGGAGAGAGAGCACTACACACAGTCTCATAAAATCAAGAGATCAACATGTTTGATTAGGAGAATTGGTTAGTAAATTATGTGTCTAACAAGGGTATTAAAAAATCTTAATTCCGTTTTTCTTACTAATGGAAAATATGTAATTTGTCATATTCTCAAGTATAGGTGTTCAGAAATTTGGAAGACGATCCATCAAGAGTTATAATATAACCCAAAGAAATCATTGATTATAATTGTTGACACAAAAGATATGGATTAGCAAATGATGTTGAGCTAAATTATCAAGGACTTGATCTTGTTTAATTTTCAAATCAATACTCAATACAATAAAACAACTTCTTAGCATGACACACAATTAAAAATTTTATCCAAATTGAAGATGAATAAGAAGAAGAATTCAAGCCTCCCAACATATCCAGCGACGTTTGACGACATCTCACTCTTGGCATTTAAGGATATGGAGGATTAACGACTGAAAACGCCGCACCCAAACACACCTTGAAACTCGCAGTTTGGATTCGTGACTTTGTCCGTGATGGCCGAAAACGCCGTTGTGGCTGTTAGATCGTCGATTGCTCTGACGATTAAGGAGAACAGTGAACAACAATATCGGAGCATTTACCTTGGTTGGCCGGAACGTCTTTGCGAAACTAAGATTTTCATCTTCCACTTCCATCCAATTATTAGAACGGAACATAGCATCTTGCATGGTCATTGGTTTATGAACTATTAACTCTTCTCGGAACCTCAATTCATGCCATAAACCCTTTCTTAGGGCATATATGCTCGTCCAGCACACTCTAGTCCAGCACACTCCACAACATCATCAAAATCATCCAAGAAGGAGGAGCTTCAAAAAATGTTCGACGCATTCCTCCAACAAATCGAAGAATCCAACACCGATGCTACTATACAAGATGACGACCCCTACGGCGGTCCTCTAGCCCAAGATCAATATGAAGATCCTATATAGCAAAAAAAAAAAAAAAAAAAAAAAAAAAAAAACCTAATAATATTGTATACATTAAGTATTGTATGTAAATTTTATTGCTTATTTTATCTTAACTTTCATCGACGATACAAAATGGTGTTCCAGGCAGCAAGCCCTTTGATGAAGGCAATAAGACCGATGGCAAGCCACTATTGTGTCAACGAAGATTGTTTTGGTAGAAAAGGCAAAGTTTTAAGTATGTACATTCTAGTAGACTCAGTATATTATTAAAATGTTATTATACTTAAACTAAGTATTATTACTTATTAGTAGTTTTAAATAATATACGGAGTATATACTCTGTATAAGATATTCAAGAGAAAAAGAAACAAAAGGACCCCACAAGACGTAAGCAATGACAACACTCAAGGCGTAAGCAATGAAGTCATCCAAAGATGTCGGCAACGTTGGATCAACGACACGTAGCAACACCGCCCGATGGATGACACGCGTCCACGCAACAACTACTCAACTCTACTTATAAATACAGAAGCACCCCAAACCGAAGAGGGCACGAATTTACAAAATCGCTCTCCCTTCTCTCTACAATCTCTCTCTAGAAATCTTTAGTTTTCGAGTTTTAAGTTTTAAAATCTTTATCAATATTTGTAAGGATTACCAAAAAAATTAAAATTATTACAATTCAAGAGTTACTGTTCACAAAAAAAAAAACAAAAAAACCTAATAATATTGTATACATTAAGTATTGTATGTAAATTTTATTGCTTATTTTATCTTAACTTTCATCGACGATACAAAATGGTGTTCCAGGCAGCAACCCCTTTGATGAAGGCAGTAAGACCGATGGCAAGCCACTATTGTGTCAACGAAGATTGTTTTGGTAGAAAAGGCAAAGTTTTAAGTATGTACATTCTAGTAGACTCAGTATATTATTAAAATGTTATTATACTTAAACTAAGTATTATTACTTATTAGTAGTTTTAAATAATATACGGAGTATATACTCTGTATAAAATATTCAAGAGAAAAAGAAACAAAAGGACCCCACAAGACGTAAGCAATGACAACACTCAAGGCGTAAGCAATGAAGTCATCCAAAGATGTCGGCAACGTTGGATCAACGACACGTAGCAACACCGCCCGATGGATGACACGCGTCCACGCAACAACTACTCAACTCCACTTATAAATACAGAAGCACCCCAAACCGAAGAGGGCACGAATTCACAAAATCGCTCTCCCTTCTCTCTACAATCTCTCTCTAGAAATCTTTATTTTTCGAGTTTTAAGTTTTAAAGTCTTTATCAATATTTGTAAGGATTACTAAAAAATTAAAATTATTACAATTCAAGCAATATTTAACGCAATATTTAACGAAAAATAGCATGTATAAGCAATAAGAAAGATTAATGGTATCAGTCACTAAAACGATCGATTTTCAGTTTTCAAAAATAAAGATTTCATTTTAAATTTTAAAATCAACTTTTAGAAAGAAACGGACCTCTTCTACCGAGACATTGAAGCCAAAGGTGTTCTAGGCAGCAAGTCCTCAGAAGGAAGGCAGTAAGACCGTTGGTAAACCGCAGCCGTGTCAAAGTAAAACAGGTTAGTCTCTTGCTAAGATGTATTTGATTTAAAAAATTTAAAATGGCATCCTCATTTAGAAAACTGTTAAAATCCGGCCAATCATCAACTTCTAAATCAACAATAAATTCAAGAGAAATAATATAAAAAATATCAGCATTTAATAAAGAAATATCAAGGGATTCCTTACCTCATATTAATGCTGAATATATATATCAAATCGGAACATTTGATTTTAAAACAGCTTATTCAATAAAAGAACATGAACAAACAATATCTCTACAACATGAATTCGAAGAAATTAAATTATTATCATCAATAGCTCTAGATAAATATAAGCAAAAAGGATTCAACTATCTTCATTTCGGATTAGTTCAAATAGCAATAAAACCATTATCAAGAACATGAATTGATTCACCCATTTTAATGTTATTAAGAGATAAAACCCTTCTAAAATTTGAAGACTCACTTCTTGGTGTAGTACAATCAAATTTATGTAATGGGGCAGTCTACTTTAATTGCGCACCTAATTTTCAAGTTAGTCTTCATGATCCGACCATACTCAACACATTAGTGCTAAACGTTCATTTACCAGAAGTCAAATTCCAAAATGAACGGCATGGTTATTGTGGATGTCGGATTCACACACTCAAGTATTTTTATTTAAGTAGGAAATATTACTCTTGAGGGACAAAAATAAATATGCAAAAAGCTTATGAATTGCTACAAAAATTGCTATAGTATTTCTTACTCGAGAGGAAGATCCCCTTTACATGGCCATTGGCCTTTATATTTATACATAGAAAAATGACATTTAAATGGCTAATTAAGTACAATTATTCTCTCTTAAATGCGTCCGTTTTGATCTTTGATTTTAATGCTTAACGTTCGAATTTGAATTGATCATGATCTTCATGGGCTTCGCCTTTTGGCCCAAGTGTCCATGGACCGATTTGACCATGACTTCGTCTCCGGACTGGTGTCGAGGTGCAGTCACTTCGGATTCTCCTTATGGTGATAACCACTTCGACTGTTCTTTTGACTTGCGGGTCTAACGGGCTTTATCCCTTATGGGCCGTTAACCCAACTACGTGGCAATCTTTGGTTGGTCCCGAACCTCTGGTGCGGGATCCGACACCAACAATTAGCCCCCCAAGTTCTTCGAAGTGCCATTCCAATTCGGAGGACTTTAAATGCTTTAATGACCAAAGATTGCGTTCTGAGGAATCTTATGATTTTCCCGCCAAGATCCCGTCAGTCCTTTAATTTCGGCGCTATCCATGTTTAGTCGCGTGACATCTGTCACCATTATGACCGTATCTTAATTATTTACTATTAAAGCGGGAAACCTTTCCACTTCCCCCACGATTCCCAAGGCGGTTTCACCATTATCACTTAGCTTTCATGAGGTAACTTCTTTCATCATCACTTTTTTACTCTTACGCTTTAATCGAAACTTCTCTCTTCTCTTTCTTCGCCGATTTTCTCTTTGCCGGATTTTAAATTTCTCATATTCTCCGATGACTTCTGATTCCGAAAGACCCGAGTCTCCATCCTTTGAAGGTGGCTCTAGTAATGACGAATGCACTCGTCCTAACGACATAGCTGGTCCGCACTACAGATCCACCTGTACCCTTCAATCCCTAGAGCGATTAAAAGGGCTTTGCCAGATTCCCCCTGGAATCATAGCGGAAGCGCAGATAGCCGACCCTACGGAGTCCCCGGAAAATCATCGATACTTGGCGGCTCTTGAGATCGCTTTACCTCAGCTAACCCCCAATCTTCTCCGAACCATCCTCGGGATCATAACCGTTGCGGCGGAAGCAGACTACATTATTGGGGTCCCCGAGCTGAACGAACTTCTAAGCGTGAGAAGTTCGTCAAAGAAAACAGGGTACTTCTCGGCGTATCCGAATGCCAACAGGAACGTCATCTCGCACCTCCCAAACAAGGATGAAAACTGGCACCATCCTTGGTTCCTGATTAAAAAAACTCCTACTTCGATTGGAAATCTTTCCGATGTACTCCCATCGAAGTGGACTGCGAAGCCTGGTAGAAACTAGGTCGTATATTCCTTTCCTGGTTGTTTTATTTTTTACTGACCAAACTCGTTGTTTCACTTCGCAGTTGTCATCGCTTCGGCTCTTCCGACCGAAGAATTCGTCAAGTTCTTCAAAACAATCCTTAAAGGGGAAACCCTTTGGAATTCTTTCACCCTCGATCGGTTCGTTGAAGCCAATCGAAAACTCAGGATGAGTGCCCCCAATCAACTTTATCGTCTTCCGCCTCCTCCCTCAACTCAGGGAATGTCAGCTCGGGCCCTCACTGCCCAGCGTAAGAAACTCTCCAAGCCGATAGCAGAGGCTTGTGACGAAAACAAGGCGTTCCTTGCGGCCGCCATTGACAAAAAAGACTACAGCAGGACCCTGCTGGTTGATGACAACAGCACCGAGGGAGCCAGATCCGTCGCTGCTTTCAGATTAACTCCTCGTCGCGAACGTCGTGACGAACGTTCTCCTCGGAGGGACCGATCTCCTCGTCATGATTCTCCTCGTCCTCCCCGAGATGATTTTAGCAATGAACCACTTAAGAACTTGGTTCGCAGGAAGAGAGACAAGTCATCTCGTAATGATTCTTCTCCGCGAAGGGAGAAGTCAAGGGCCCGGACTGACCGTTCACCTCGATCATCCCCTCCCACTGAACCAATGGGTCCTCCTCGACCTGTTGATATGTCTTCCTCTTCCCAGCCTGACAGCGAGAAGACTGCCCAGAGTGCATCTCCTAAAAAGGGAGATTCTGAGTCTCGAGATGCTTCCTCGAAGTTAAAGCCTGTTCTTGTCCCCCAAGTCAAATCGCTTTCAGGTTTGGTGTTTTATATTTACTTAAAAGTTTTAGTCTTTGTTCAGATTCCAATTTCTACCACTCTTCTTTCTTCGCAGCTATGGAGAAAGAAGGCAGTGTTTTCCGATGCTTCAAGACCCGATCGGGTGCGATCTTGCCAGATTTTGACAAGTGGCGCCCTGCGATTCGTGAATGCTACTTGCTTCACGCTCATCATTCATCTCGGGTTAGTCCCGCTTTATTTTTCTGACTGTGCTGCCATTCTTCGAACTAATTGGCCATCCTGGTTTTATGCATCATGCCAGGCTAACGGCGAGCTTAACGACATGATCGAACACTACGAGGGGCTGGTCATTGACCGGGAAAAGGAGATTGTTACGTGGAAGAAAAAACTTTCTGCTCTTGAGACCGACCTTCACTCCTCTTCCAGCTCTAGGCAAGAACTGGAAGACCGAGTTGACAATCTCACATCCGAACTCGCAAAAGTGAAAGGCGAGTTGCAAGACCAATATGACCGGAATAATCAACTTCAGGATGAATTTACCGACGTTCAAGGTAGGCTCTGTGAATCCGAATCAACTGCTTACACCTTGCATAAACAACTTGCCGAACTTGATGCGAAGTACAAGGCGATAACCAAGCTGCGAGACTCCGAGTTGGCAAGGTCGGCTTCGAAGGCCATAAAAGAGGTCAAGGGATGCGGAATGGAGTTGATTCAAGGGGCTATCCGCTTCATTCAAACCGAGAAGGCTAGGTCAGATCTGGAATCAGACATCAAGGAGCACGAGAGCAACCTGATTCTGTTGGATCAAATCCATGATGAAGATTTCTCCGAAGTGAAAGAAAGGGCCGAACTATCGGCTAATCTATCTGAAAAGCGGAGTCGCTTGGCAGCTATTCCTACTTCGACCTTCAACCCCCATCATTTCGAGGAATTCTTCACAGAATCACCTCCTTTAAGTGAATCGGGTCTAGATTGGGCAGGTGATCTTTGGCTCCTGACACTTACCACCTTTTTCTTGCCTTATATTTTTTTTTAATCGACTGGAATTGTCTTTCCTAGGCTCAAGTGGGACGGATGATGTCGTCCCACCCGAAGTTCCTGCGGCACCGGAGGTCACCCCGGAGGATGGTTGTACCGTGGAGGGCGGACAGGGAGCTTCATCTGATCAAGCACCAGTCAAGGAGGCGAATGAAACTTTGACAGCCGAGCCGGAGTCCGAGGTGGCTGCCAATCCGTAGTGGCTGTGCCCACTTTAAACTGGGGATTGTCCCATTTAATTTAAAACTTAATTTCGAACTTGTTTTTGCCTAAGGAGGCTTTATAATTACCTTTTTAAACAAAATATTCGCCTGAGGAGGCTTTTAAACCTTTCTAGGTTATGATCCCAAGAGGGTTTGGTTAAAATTATGTGCGGGTTTGCAAAGTCCGCTTTTAACCTTTTGTGGCCTTGTGGTTATGCTTTCGAGATTTTTAGGCTGATCAGACCTTTCTCTTTAGAATGCGAGAACTGAGTTCGGCTTAAAGCGAGTTCCCCACTTCGGGTTTAGCCAACTCGGTAAATTTATTTGGCTTGGGCCTTAAAAACTTTTGTAGTTAATGCGACGGTTGCTTTTTCCCTTCTTATCTCTTGAAAGTAGGAAAAGCGGCTCGTCTTTAATGCAATAACTGTCTTTTCTCGATTTCCAAAAATGGTTTAAACCATTAGGGCACGCCACCATTATTGAATTTTCATTCCCAAGACAAACCCTAACCTTATTATAAATAGGAGTTTGTTCGCCTTTGATCTTTCCTCAAGAAAACTTCATAGTTCATTCGATAAACACCACATTAATGGAAAACGAAAACGTAGCCCCCGTTGATCCCGGCAGCCCACTCTTCTTGTCCGGTGATGGCTTTGATCCGGCCGGCGTTCTTTTCCCTCACGCCGTCTTTCACTTTCCTTCAAAGGAGAAGAAAGAGGCTTGCGACTTTATCGACAAGGTTAATATCCGTCGTCCTTGATTAAAAACTTTCTGTTTCATTTTATTCATTCATCTTTATGCTAGGTCGCCGACAAACACCGTCGCCTGTGTGAGGAGAGGCAGCGGCTGGGTCTCAAAAGGCAGACACTCGAGGCTCGCATCACTCGGGTGGAGAGGAAGATAAGGGCTCTGGAAAGTGATCCCTTTCAATGGGAATGGCGGAACTTCGATTCTGTTGCTGAGATCCCGAAGATGCTTCGGATGTATCTCCGTGCTAAAGGAGTTCCGGGTCCTGTGAATGCCCCGGTCTATACTGTTCCATTTGATAGCGAGGAAGAAGACGAGGAGGAGGCCAGCACCGGTCGGAAACGCGTTCGGGATCGTCCCGAAGTGGATGCCAAGAACAAGGCGTCCACTTCGAAAGTTAAACCGGCGATGAAGGAGCCTGTTCCTGAGCCTCTTCCTTAAATGTTCCCTAACTCTACTCCCCTCTTTTTTTTTTTTTTTTTTTGAACTCGTAATGGGCTTGCGACTTCCCTTTTTTTATTTATGGAAACATTGGCAATTTTCCTTATTCTTCAAAATATTCTCGGAGATTTATCTTTTAATGCAGGATCGGTTTAAGAGCGTAAATCTCTCCGCGAATCACTCCATTCCTAGGATAAAATCCGCGGTTTACTAGGGACATGACATTCCTATAAATTATAGTCTCAATTCCCTTTACTCCTCATTGCTCTTTTACATTTTAGCAGGTATGGAGTTCAACCTTCGATGTTCAGAATCTATGCCCGACTTCTTCAGGATCGGAATGATAAATGAAGATGTTCCAAATGAGCCAAATAGGCAGCCTCTTCCACCTCGCGGCTTCTTCAAATCTCAGATCCGAGCTCCATGCGCTTTGATCAGGGATCTCCCAATCAGGGACCAAGGAACAGCGATGGCATTCATTGAGGCACTTGCGTACGGTATCAAGAGATCTTCACATCCTTGGCTCTCACCCCGGAGAGTGGATCGAGCTTGGAATCTCTGACTTTGCTCGAATTCCGGACTGCATGATGCCAATCCTCGACCTTGTTGTTTAAATAAACGTTTTATTTCCAATCTCTTGTATGTTCGCATAGCCGAACCTTTATTTGTTTCACTTGTTCGCACAGTCGAACCTTTTCCTTTAATAAAGAAATAAAACAAATTTTTATTAATAGCTGAACTCGTTTCCGAGCTGCCTACGTACCCATTTCGGGATCAAGCCACACCGTAGTTCATGTACATAAAAAACGCATGTAGCTTAAACATAAAACTTCTTTAGGTTAATCACATTCCAAGGTCGCTTGACTGGCCTGTCTTCTAAGTCTTTCAGCCTATAGACACCGTTTCGAACCACTTCGGTAACAATGTAAGGTCCTTCCTAATTAATACCGAGTTTACCGGCGCCTTCTTCTTTTTTATTGTCAAAGCCGCGCCTTAACACATAATCTCCCACGAAGAACGGCCTACTTTTGACTTTAGAGTTGTAATATCGGGCTGCTGCCTGCTGGTAATTCTGAATCCGAATCAAAGCTTGATCACGCCTTCCATTTATGGTATCTAGTGAATCATTAAGCATTGCTGAATTTTCTTCCTCATTTAATGGTGCTTCTGTTCGGCGAAGTCCGGGCACGTTGAGTTCAGCTGGTACTACTGCCTCCATGCCATAAACCAAAGAGAATGGAGTTTCTCCGGTAGGTCGCCTAGGGGTTGTGCGATATGCCCATAGGACGGGTTGGAGTTCTTCATACCATCCTCCCTTTAGATGATTCAAACGTTTCTTGAGATTGCTCAGTATCGTCTTGTTCGCGGCTTCAGCTTGACCGTTTCCTTGCGGATATCGTGGAGTAGAGTAACTGACTTTGATTCCCCATTCCGCACAAAAGGCATCAAACTCTTGTGAAATGAATTGTGGCCCGTTATCAGTGACTATTTCGTACGAAACTCCATGTCGACATATAATATTCTTCCAAATGAAAGTCTTCACCGCCGAATCCTTGATGCCAACATATGCCTCAGCTTTAATCCACTTTGAAAAGTATTCCGTCAAGACCAAAAGGTATTGTACACCTCGAGTTGATCTGTGCAATGGTCCAATGATGTCCATTGACCACCTCATAAACGGGTATGGGGCGGAGATGGAAGAGAATAACTCCGAAGGTTGATGGATCAATGGTGCATGGAGTTGGCAGCGCTTACATCTTTGGGCGAATTTAACACAATCCGTGATCATAGTGGGCTAATAGTATCCCATTCTTTTAACTTTAAAAGCCATAGCTCTTCCTGATGAATGACTCCCACATAATCCTTCATGCACTTCGCTCATGACGATTTTGACTTCGGGCCCAAAAATGCATAATAGGTAAGGGTCACTGACACCTTGTCTATATAATGCATCATTTGATAGACAAAATTTCGCGCTAACGATTTTCATTTTCCTGGCATGCCACTTATTCTTTGGGAGCTCGCCTGTCATGATGTAGTGCTTTATTGGCTCCCTCCAGTCAGCCCCCCAGTCTTTAGCCGGAATTTGGTCAACCTTGTGAAATACTCGTGGTTCTGGTTCGGGATGTTCGTTTGGTTCAAGAACATCCTCCTCGATTAATGGCTCGGTTTCTAATACTGTTTCTGGAATCACATCTTCTGCTAAGACAACGGGTTCCTTATTAGATGTGTTTGATCCCTTTGATTTCCTCCGTTTGACGGGTGGCAATTCGACCTCCGGTTCGTCACGGTCACGTGCCGCTGCTCGAGATCTTGTAACGACGAGTGTTTCTTTATTATCTTGAATTCTTCGTTCCGAAATGCATTCTACTGGGATAACTCTTTTCAAGTCAGGATCTGATGTTGATGCTAACGCGGCAAGTGCGTCCGCGGTTGTATTCTCTCCCTGGGGTATGCGAATTAATTCGAATTTCGAGAAATTTTTAGATAGATCCTTCACCACTTCGAGGTATGCTTCCATTCTTGAGTCCTTGGCCTCGTAGTCTCCATTAAACTGGTTAACTACTAATTGCGAATCACAATAAGCGACTATTTCCTTAGCTCCAACTCCTTGTGCCAATCGAAGTCCGGCAATTAGGGCTTCGTATTCTGCCTCATTATTGGAAGCATTAAATAACAACCGGAATGATTGTTCTAGTATTTCTGACGTTGGAGATTCCAACTTGATTCCCACTCCGGATCCTTGTTTTGATGAAGATCCATCTACATGTAATTTCCAAGTTTGGTTCTCCGGTTGTTCTATCGTTCCAGATATTGGTAGCTCGGTCAGGAAATCTGCTAAAACCTGAGCTTTCATAGTGATCCGGCTTTTGAATTCTATGTCGTACTCAATTCCACCGCCCATTTCGCCAGACGTCCGGACTGACTTGGACTATGAAGTATTGTTCGGAGTGGCTGGTTGGTTAATACTTTGACCAGATGGGATTGAAAATACGGGCGCAGCTTCCGAGCCGAAGTCACCACCGCGAGTGCAAGTTTTTCCATCATTGTATATCTGGTTTCCGGGTCCGTCATTGATTTACTTATATAGTAAATCGGCTTCTGCTCCCCGCGGTTTTCCCGGACCAGGACTCCACTAACCGCATGGTTTGAAACTGACACGTATAGATAAAGCTTTTCGTCCACTTCTGGTTTGGATAATATAGGCGGGGTAGTTAAGTATGCCTTAAGCTGCCCAAAAGCTTCTTCACACTTCTCATCCCAAAGGAATCCTTTGTTTCCTTTTAGAATTTGGTAGAAAGGTAATGACTTATCTGTTGATCTCGAGATAAAACGATTCAAAGCCGCAATCCGTCCAGTCAACCGTTGTACTTCCTTGAAGTTTCTTGGAGATGGCATGTTTAAAAAGGCGTTAATTTGATTTGGATTGGCCTCAATCCATCTTTCTGTCACTATATAGCCAAGAAATTCTCTGGACGGGACTCCGAATGTGCACTTTGCCGGGTTCAGCTTCATTTGATATTTATTGAGAATATCGAAACATTCCTCTAAATGCTTAACGTGATCCTCTTTCTTTAACGATTTAACCAACATATCATCAATGTAGACTTCCATTGTCTTTCCGAGATGATTGTGGAACATTTTGTTAACCAACCGTTGATAAGTTGCTCCTGCATTTTTCAAACCAAAAGGCATTACTTTGTAACAATAAATACCTCTATCCGTGACAAATGACGTTTTCTCTTGGTCTTCGGGGTTCATCAGTATTTGGTTATAACCCGAAAAAGCATCCATGAAAGTTAACAGCTCATTGCCAGCGGTGGATTCTACAAGTCGATCTATATGCGGGAGTGGGAAACTGTCTTTGGGACATGCTTTATTGAGGTCTGTGAAGTCGTTGCAAACCCTATCTTTTCCATTCTTCTTTTTGACAACGACAGTGTTTGCTACCCATTCCGGATATTGCACTTCCCATATGGATCCTATCTTTAAGAGTTTGTCCACTTCGTCATTTACTATTCTTGCTCGTTCTACTCCGAGCTTTCTTCTTTTTTGTTTTACCGGCTTGAAGCTTGGATCCACGTTTAGTTCATGACAAATTATGCTTGGATCTATGCCGGGCATATCCGCCGCTGACCATGCAAATGATGTTATGTTTTTTCTCAAGAGTTCGATCAAAGCTTCTTTTATTTGGCTAGTCAAAGTTGCCCCAATTCGAATTTTCCGGTCCGGTTTGTCTTCTTCCAACACCACTTCGATTACTACATCATCTTTTTTCTGCCCGCTAGGAAATTTTGGTCTTAGTCCCTCTTTTGCGGGCTTCGTTAATTGCTATTGAATCTTCATACGGTGGCTAGCTAGATAACACGTCCGTGAAGCTTCTTGATCTCCCCGAATTGTTTCCACTCCACTTAATGTTGGAAATTTGATACACTGATGATATGTAGAGGGGACTGCTTTCATTTGATAAATCCAGGGAGTCCCGAGGATGATGTTGTAAGCCGCGGGCTTATCGAAGACAACAAAATCCACGATCTTTGACACCCGTTTGGCAAGGATTGGTAGCTTGATTGTTCCGAGGGACATGGCTGATTCACTTGTGAATGCCACTAACGGAGATGGAGGCCCTATTATGTCTGCCCGACTAATTCTCATTCTTTCTAAAGTACTTAAAAAGATTAGATCGACCGAACTGCCCGTATCGATAAGAATCTTTGATACTTCGAAGTTGGCAACGTCCAGGGTAATGACTAATGCATCATCATGAGGTTTCTCGAGGTGCCGCATTTCTTCTTCGTCAAATGATATTGATGCACCTTGAAAATCGACTTCTTCACTCAAACTTGCTTTGAGTAAGACATTTCGCCTATGTTTTTTGATGGAACTATCGAATCTTGGCAAAATTTAGAACCTCCTAGAATCACATTGATCTTACCCTTCAAACTCCTTGGCTCTTCCTCATTGGATAACTTTGGTCTTTTAGAATTTTGATCTTTGGAGTTATCCTTTGATTTGTGGTTTTCCTTTACGAAATCTTTTATATCGAATTTGGAAAGATCTCCACTGGCCCAAAGCTCCGCGAGATGCCTCTTAAGGACACTACAATCCTTGGTTAAATGTCCGGTTACGCTATGAATATCGCAATATAAACTTTCATCACGGACCCAAGTGTTTGACCTTCCTTTTCCTTGGAATTGCTTTCCGACGATACCGTTGAAGGGTTGAGACCCAAATTTTCTTGGTCCTTTACTTTCCCTAGACTCGAACTTCTTGATAGGGACGGTGGTTGCCGGCTTCTCTTGTTTATTTCTTTTGGCGAAATTTTCTTTTTCGTCCTCTACTTCCATCCAGTTGTTTGCGCGGAAGAGTGCATCCTGAATTGTGTCCGGTTTATGAAGTATTAAATCTTCTTTAAACCTTGAATTATGTCGCAATCCTTTCCGTAGGGCAGATAAAGCTGATTGTTGTGAGATTCTTGGGAGCTTTGACAGCACTCCTTTGAACTTGGTGATGAAAACTCGAAGTGATTCATTTGATCCTTGTGATAGGTTCCAAAGATCGGCGTCCGAAACGCTTTTATCCATAAGGATGGAATATTGCTTTAAGAAAACAGCTGATAGCTTGTCGAAATTGCTGATCGAACCCGGCTCTAATTGGGTGAACCACATTAGAGCTTGGCCGCATAGATTTTCCGAAAAGAGCTTGCAGTAACCCGCGTCCTCATCAGCTTCATCCAATTCGACTCTTCCGGCAGCGATCAGGAAAGCTGCGAGATAGCTCTTTGGATCCTCCAATCCGCTGTAAGGGTCCAACTTGAGCTTCCGGGAATCTTTGATTCTCAAACTTGCAATTCGCGAGATGAAAGGTGTTCGCCTAGCTTCTTCAATGACTAGATTGATGTCTGGCTCCGAACTCGTAGCCTGATGGAACTTTGACTTCATTTTTTTTAGTTCCTGGCTAACCTTCCTCATAGTCTCGAACTGGTCGAGGTTTTCCTGCTCGTATTGATCTGCAAGTTGAACTTCATCTTCGAGCTGTGTTTCTCCCTCCAATGGCTGAACTACATTATTAGTAGCACCAGGAGTTGTTTGTCCGCTGGTTTCATTTCGCGCAACGGAACTCGGCGAGTTGAGTATCCTTCTTCGGATTCCCACAGGGTTTCCTGCACTTAAAGAGCGAACACGAGTTTGTATAGTACTGACGTTTTGACTAAGGGATACCTGGGATGTTTGTAACGTGTCGACGGCCTTTTCCACATTCGAGAACTTCTGCGACATTTCCGACATGGTCTGTTGCATGGCTTTGAGGGTTTCGGCCAATGATAAATCAGCGGTGTCTCCGTCGGACATTGTTGCTTATCTCGGAAATGTAGTAAAGAAAAATATGACCACTCAAGAACTCTTTTTCCCCACAGACGGCGCCAAAATGTGGATGTCGGATTCACACACTCAAGTATTTTTATTTAAGTAGGAAAGATTACTCTTGAGGGACAAAAATAAATATGCAAAAAACTTATGAATTGCTACAAAAATTGCTATAGTATTTCTTACTCGAGAGGAAGATCCCCTTTACATGGCCATTGGCCTTTATATTTATACATAGAAAAATGACATTTAAATGGCTAATTAAGTACAATTATTCTCTCTTAAATGCGTCCGTTTTGATCTTTGATTTTAATGCTTAACGTTCGAATTTGAATTGATCCTGATCTTCATGGGCTTCGCCTTTTGGCCCAAGTGTCCATGGACCGATTTGACCATGACTTCGTCTCCGGACTGGTGTCGAGGTGCAGTCACTTCGGATTCTCCTTATGGTGATAACCACTTCGACTGTTCTTTTGACTTGCGGGTCTAACGGGCTTTATCCCTTATGGGCCGTTAACCTAACTACGTGGCAATCTTTGGTTGGTCCCGAACCTCTGGTGCGGGATCCGACACCAACAGTTATCTACTCTTATACCGAATTTATTTTAAACAATCCAATTCAGAATTTAATCCAAGATGTTTACTACAAGATGATAAAGGAGAAACAACAATACTAGCTATGCATAGTAAAGATACTCCTTCATCTACATATGCACCTAAACAATTAAAATGGAACAAAATTACTATTCCAGATCAATGGAAAATAGATATTACACAACCTCCAAAAAATTTTGAACAAAGAGATATTTCAAAAATATTTGAACAGAATGATGGAAAAATATTATTAAAATTTGGATCTTTTAGAGAACCTATTCCACCGAGAATTAGTTCATATTATTCAAATAGTTCAATATATAGAACTCCTGCAAGAGCTTCCTTTTCCGAATATTATCCTGGTCAAACTAGTAAAAAAAAAGATTCGGAAAATATAAATGAGAATGAACCAATTAAATTTAAAGCACCAATAGCAGAACCTGAACCTAATATATATCCAACGTCCCCTACACAATCTGATTTTCAATCAATAAATGTTATTATAAAAGATTTTGAAATAAACAAAGAATACATCAAAGAAGATTTTTACTCACTAAAAAATAAAGAAAAAAGAGAATGGTATTTCAAAACTTTTAATAAACAACAAACAATAGATTATAGAACAAAATGGTATGATTTTATGCTAGAAAAAGAAATAGATATTCCATTTTTCATATGGTTTGAAGACTATTCAACAAATAATAAAATAAATTATCCATTTAAAGAAATTAATGTAAATTCTTCACTAAGCCAAACATGGGAACAATTAGATGGTAAAAAAACTAATTCCATACATCCACCATTAACCGATTTAAAAATACAAACAAGTAATAGACAAATTATAGCGGTTCCATTCAAGACAGGAGCTAACGAAAATGATAATGATACTGTAACCAAAAAAGAGATAAAAAATATTTATCAACAAAATAATTTTCAAAGTCAAATACTACATACGATAGCTAAACAAATTGATAATATAGATAATAAATTGGATACAATTAACGAAGAAAATTCAATACCAAAACCGTTTTGTTCGGTATCAACACCTATGTTTAAACCATTTAAAAGAGAAATAAAATTTGCAGACAATGAAATATTAAAATCAATCTCTACCAGATTAGACAATATAGATAAAGGGAGAAATGCTATTAACAATATAGACGAAGCTGACGATAGTCAATCTTCGGAAATTGAAGAACAAGAAATAAACAGAATAAAAAACCGAAATATCAAAAGTAATAAACCATATTACTCAAGGCACTCACCACCAGATATTCTATTTGAAGAACATTATAAATACAATGCAAGTATGTATACTGGAGATGGTCTATATGAATGGAATATAGATGGTAAATCAGAATACGAAATAATGAGCCTATTACAAAAAATGGGTATGGCTGCTCTAGCCTACAAAGCTAGGGGAAAAACTGATAGACAAACTTGCATTATGCTACTAGCTGGTTTTACTGACGCATTAAAATTTTGGTGGGATAACTTATAACCCCGATAATTCCTGGGAAGAAATAGAAAAAGGAAATGCCGTAGAAGTTTTAATCCATACAATAACTATGCATTTCATTGGTAATCCAGAAGAAGAATTAGAAAGCAAAAAATTAATATTAACCAATTTAAGATGTCCAACATTAAGTGATTTTAAATGGTATAAAGACATTTTTATTACAAACATATTTCAAAGAAATGATTGTAATCAAGCATTTTGGAAAGAAAGATTTGTCTCTGGACTACCATCTTTCTTCTCTGAAAGAGTATTTAACAAATTAAGAGAATATTCAGGAGGACAACCAATCCCCTGGGATACAATAACTTACGGTCAATTATTTGCATTTACTAAAAAACAAGGGTTAGCAATATGTCAAGAACAACGTGATAAAAAACGCAATGATAAATTCAAATTTAAAATTTCAATGGGATCGTTTTGTGAACAATACGGTTTCCCTCAACTTAATCCACCATCTAGAGAAAAAAGAATTAAGCATAGACAAAGAAATAAGCAATTCTATAGAAATAGAAATTATAATAAACCAATGAATAAATTTTACTCTAAAAATAGAAATTACTCAAAAAACAAAATTTATTCAAAAAATAAAAAATACTTTAAAAATACTAAAAATGAAATAATATGCTGGAATTGGAAAAGACCTGGACATAGATCCCCGGATTGTAAAATGAAGAAAAAAATAAATGAAATATTTCATGATCAGCCCGATATCCAGGATAAACTAGCCAAATTATTATTAACCTCCGAATCAGAAAAAACAGAAGAAACCGATAGCAATAATACAATAAATGATATTGAAGATTTAAGTGATTCTTCTTCAGAATCACAAGAATCATCAAATCATACTTATAACGGAATATGCAATTGTAAATTAATTAATGTAATAACAAAAGATAGTGATAAACAATTCTTACTAGATATAATAGATAAAATAGACGACCCAGAAATTAAAAAGCAATATCTGATAAAATTAAAAGACATAATAACTAGAGAAAACGGATTCGATACTCAAGAATCATTTAGTTTAAACAAAATACTATGAAAAAACTACTGAAAAACTAAGTGGAGCCAATGGCACTAACTTAAAAGTACAATACAAATTACCCTGTGCAAAAGTTTGTAATGAAGGATACTGTTTTACAAATCAATTTATATTAGTAAAGAATTTATCCCAAGAAATAATTTTAGGAACTCCCTTCTTTACACAAATTTATCCTTTTAAAGTATCCGAATTAGGGGTAACAACTAAAGTAGTAGGCACTAAGCTACTATTTAAATGAAGATTGTCAATATAAAACCGATAACATAACCAAAAACCGTACTTTTTATGAGTACATTCTAGTAGACTCTAAGTCTGCTGAGATTACTCATTATCCAAACAAATCTGAACCTACTCAAATAGCCTACTCTACTTCCAAAATACTACGTATCCAATCCCCACACGACTATGGTGATATCCTATACTAATATTTGGGAAGTACATCCTAAGGATCACAACATTGATTTTGTAAGAAATTACAATATATGCCATTAGAGAATTCTAATCATAATCATTTTATTCCATGTCACTAATATATATTAACGGGTCAAATAGGTTTAAAAATATTAAAGAGATTTTGTTTATATATAATCCGAATTTATAAAAAAATGTTATATAATTCGAATTGTAAAAAAAAATATTATTTTGAATTATAGTAATCATATATTAACGTTCTAAGTTATTAATAAATTATTCGAAAATGTTATTGAAAATGTTATATACTAATCCATTATTTAAAAATGTTATTGAAAATGATATATCATTGAAATTTTTTTATATAAATCGAATTTATAAAGAAAATGTTATTTTGAATTATAGTAATCATATAGTTCGGAAATGCTATTAAAAATGTTATATACTAATCCATTATTCGAAAATGTTATTGAAAATTGAAAATGTTATTGAAAATTAAAAATGATATATCATTGAAAAAATGTTATATAATTCGAATTTATAAAGAAAATGTTATTATTCATGGATAGAGTTAAGCAAAAGGTATTATCTATATATACATTTTTGGTGAAGTCAAATATTCAATTTTAAATACTATTAAAAATAATATCGAGAATATCTAGCAAATGGAAAGTATTAAAACAATAAAATCGTGACCAAATCTAAATTAGCATTAATTTAGAAATTTTTTGACCCAAAAATGATTAATTCGGATCTTTAATTATTTTATACTTTCCTAAAAAAAATCTTAACGTAATTAATTGTTTGATGTGATAAGGAAATAATCATATTTATTCTCAGTTAACTATAACAAGGAATTAATTTATGGCATATTCTCCACATATGGTATATACCTAAACCAAATCATTTATAAATTTTTTCAAATCTCTTTTGTTATATAACGATTTCCTAATCTTCCCTTAAATATTACTATCATTCATTGTGAATGAGCTAAAAATCACTTTTCGTTATAATATCTTTGATTTTCAACTTCCTCTGCAAGATATTCTCAAACCACCTCAAAAATAAACCTAGATGCCTACTTACTCTATAAATACCAAACTTTAATCCGAATAGTAGACTCATCAAACATATATTCTTTTAACCTATTCCAATTATTATTTGTTATAGGAACTTTTATGTTTTATGATTTGTGAATGTATTAAACATTTGATTTTGATGTCTTATGCAGATAATCCTAAACAAGATAAACAAACCAATGATGATTGTCGTGTTCAAGAGCATTGCTTTAAATTCATGTTGGATTCTTTCATATGGTTAGTTTTATTCACCCTATTTCTTCTAGCTAAATTATCAAGTTTAATTTGATAATCTTTATATATGTTAAAGATAGCTAAATCGTAAGGTATAGCCGTTGGTTGGATTCATAGCCCCAGAAGAAGCCTCAGAGACCTCTCATGGTGATGCTTTTCCCTATCTCTACTCCCTTCTCTTGTGCCTTGATGAACTGTAGTGATCTGAATCACGACGCTTGGAATCACCATCGCGGTCACGGCGGCGACCGCCTTCACTTTGTGGAGAATGGTCGGGACTCGAATCTCGATCACGATCGTCACTGTGGCTCCTGGAAGATCTCTCCTTATCCATGGCAGAATTTAGGGTACTTTTTTTTTATAAATATATTTTTGACGTAAACGACATCTTTTATTGATAATAAGATAAGATATATGAAAATTCAATTTTCTTTTTCTAACACTTGGTATGGTCGCAAATTTCTTTTTATTTGTTTATTAGAAGCCCATGCCCAATTCTACTCACTCTCTTATATTAATTATTAAAATTGCGAGCACACTATAATGTCCATGTATATTTTATTTAATACAATCTTTTTTGTCTATTGTTATTTAATAAAAATTAACAAAATTTATAGTTATCATATTTCAATTACTAATATATTGGTTATTCCAGTTTATAATAAATCAGATTTGGATGGGAAAAGACAATACGTATCATACTCCAATTTATTTGAGAATTATTTTAGTATATATGTTTTATGAGTATCTTTTTATAATTAAAATAGAAGTGCATCTATATATATGTTCATTTCAGAACCTACTAAATAGTGAATCTACAAATACATTTTCCAAGTACATTTTTGAGCATATTTACAAGAGAATTGCTTTAAATGTTAATAAACTAATAAATTAATTAATTTCATTGGACCCTTACACATTGTACAAATGGAAGTTGGAATCGAGGACTGACTGCATATCGAGTTTGAGTACAATAAAAGCAAGTAAGATAAATTGATTTTCATAATTTTGTGATAGAGCTATGTGGAAAATGTAAAACAACAGCTAATTCTGTATGCTCTGGGTGCAGGTATCACCTAAAAGATGTTATCCTTGGGAAAATATAATTTCTTCTGGTGAGAATCAAGATAAAGAAATGGATCTTGAGATCAGACGACAAGAATCAGTTAGAGCAGGAGCTAATACTCACGTACAACAATTTCTAAGAATGCTATGCGGGTCAGTTCTCACCAAACAAAGAGAAGGAAGATGAGAGCGATAAAGAAGTTTTCACTCTGTCAATTTGTCAAATAATCCAAGGTTTTTAGCTTCTGCATTTATGGTTTAAAGATAAGAGAAAATTCTTTGATTTGGAACTAAGTTCCTTTGATTTGGTCTCTCTTCAAGTAAATATTGTAAATGTAAACGCACAATGTAAGATTTTTATCTCTTCTAAAATAACGATTCCTATCTCTACAAATCCTTTTTTTATTTTTTCTCTTCTATTCTTTGAAATTGATGTATGTGTCAGACACAAAATTAAGTTGCTCAACAAAAAAAAATGTCAGATACAAAATTAATTTTTTTTATGTCATATTAATAGTTAGAATTAGGGGTGAGACCAATTATCCGGGATCCGGGATCCGATCCGTGATCCGCTCCGATCCGCTCCGAAAAACAGGATATCCGGCTGGGGCGGATCCAGATCCGGATAATGAAAAAGCGGATCCGGCCGGATCCGGATCCGGATCCGGATAATAGAAAAATTAAAGCCGGATCTGATTAAAGCCGGATCTGATTAAAGCCGGATCCGGCATTGCTTTTAATATTTTATTACTATTATTTAAATTTTATTAATATTTTTTAATATTTTATTACTATTATTTAAATTTTATTAATAATTTTTATTATCTTTTATATAATAATAATACTTTTAATAATATTTTTAATTATTTCTGTTAAATTATTTGTTTTTAAATATTTTTCTTTAATTTTATATTAATAAAAAAAAATTTATATAAAAAAAACCGGATCCGGATATCCGCCGGGTATCCGGTTATTTTTACGGATATCCTAAATCCGGATATCCGGGTGGAGGGGATCCGGATCCGGATAATGAAAAGACGGATCCGGATACCTTAAAAAAGCCGGATATCCGGATCCGGCCCACCCCTAGTTAGAATTAGCAATTTTAGTCTGATAAAGTATTGAGTTATATAGAATTGTTAATTTCTTTGACAGTTGACACCTATAAATATGTAATTCTATAATACTAAATTACTAAATTAAACATATACCATTGATTAAATAAAAAAAAACACCAAAAATTTAAATCATATAATTTTAATTCTAAATTAAAAAATGTAAAAGCTAACATTAGCATATATATATATATATATAATTTTATCCTTAGGTACTGCGGTCCAAATCTGATTTACACCGAAGACTAATTTGTACAGTTCAAATTATTGATTTTGCAACTGCGAATGACTAAATATACAAAATAATTGTTTGGACCCGTAGTTTACACACATATCACTACTTCCACCCTAAGATCGCCTGAAACAAACTTAACCACGTCCAATTATATAACATCAATTCTTCCATAATTATTATGTTCAAATTCGAAATAAAACATATCATAAAATACAGTAGACAATAAGTTTCACAACTTTAAAATAAAACACTTCTACAACATATTTAAAACCAAAATTTTCTGCCTGAGCAACATCGAGTTACCACAAAATATACAATTTTATTACATACAAAAAAATTTTACCCGTGCTGTAACACAAAATCAATATTTTAAAAAAAAAAACCATGAAACTGGGCCAAACAAACCCCAGTATAGCTCACTAAAAAACTTAAACCCAATACAACAATTTGTTGTTTATTCTCTAATTATCAATACCTACTTAAATCAAATAAATTGTTAATCTCATAAAAAAAATACAAATCTAATGCAGCTAAATACAGGCCCGGCCCGTGGCAGAAGCTCATGAAGCTAGGGCTTTAGGGCATCAGATGTTATAAAGAAATTTAGGGGCATCATTTACAAAATTGTTCAATAGGTCTAGTGGTTAATCTTGGTTCAAAACCCACATTATGTATTCTTTTAAAATGATTTTTTTCTTTTCATTGGGGCATCATTTATATGGCTTGCTTTAGGCAGTCCATATATTCGGGCCGACACTGGCTAAATATATTAAATTCTAAAATACAATATTCTCTCCTTATTTATTACCAAGTCATGTTTTCAACTAAATTAAGATTTAACAACATTTAATTCCTATAATAAAATTAACCAAAAATGATAAGGAAAATAGATCTAAAATTAATTATATAGTATTATTTACTTCTACAAACAAAATATACAATTATCGTCAAATAAATAATACACAACATAATATCCAAATAGTAATAAACATAAAATAATATGATATATTCCTTTTTATACTATACTATTACACTATATTATTTCTTACATAATTCAAATAAAATGAACAATTTAATTCACAGAAAATATAAAATCCTGTGTTGTATAGCACGGGTCCTTATCTAGTCTATACTAGTATTTTTCCAGTCACTTTTGAGACGGGTGGGTAAAATTGTTCTCGGATACTTTGGATACCCGGCCCGTTTACAAATTTTGGTCATAAAAAGTTTGTTGGGTCGGGTTATATTTAACCCAACTCATACACCGGATATTCCATATTTAACAATTTAGATATTTAGAAGATTTGATTAAAATTTATAATTATGATTCTCTTATCATCTTTGTTTGATTTGTTTTTAACTGTTTTGAATCATCATATAATACATAAAGTAAAAAAAAAAATCAATTTTTTTTCTGCATATACTGTGATTCGAAATTTTAAAAACGGACATATATTATCCAATTTACGAAAATATGTGTTCAACGTTCTACATCGATTAAAATATTTAGACAATGATTCAGAATCATATCATAAATAAGATCAACATTAATAAAATAAATGAGCATTTTGGCCGGACGAGTTTGGCGGGACAGGTTTTTGAATCAACAATAATAAAAAAATTAAAATATCATTAATCCGCTGCTTCAATACGGATTAAATCCTGAATTTTTTTTTTGAATACCACTAATATTAGACATATTAAATGAATCTTATTTAGAAAAGATTGTATAAAACCACAAATTGTCTCGTGGTATAATGTTACTTAATAACAATTGTAAACTATAAAATATAAATATCTTAGAAAATGATCCAATTTGCAAACTTTTATATATAATAAATAATCATAAAATTTTAAAAATTACTACTTTTAGAAAACAAATCATGGGACGGGTTAAGAAGTTACATGACGAGTTATATTTTGGAACGAAGTTATATGGTGGACGAGTTTGAATCAATATTTATAAAATTTTGAAATATCATAACATGCCGCTTTAATACAGATTAAATCTTCAATTTACTAAAATATAAATGACTTAGAGAATGATATGATTTGTAAACTTTTATATAGAATAAATAATCATTAAATTTTATTAAAAAAATAAAGCACGGGACATGTTAAGAAATTATGGAACGGGTTATATTTTGGAACGGGTTTATATGGCGGACAAATTTGAATCAATATTTATAAATATCATTAACATGCCGCTTTAATACGGGTTAAATCCTCAGTTTATTAACAATTGTCTCGTTGACTCGTGGTATACCGTTACTTAATAACAATTGCAAACTATAATATAAATAAATATTTTATAAGAAGATACAATTTACAAAATATTTTTATACTAACTTTAAAAATAAATCATCATGCGGTGTACCGCGGGTTAAAATCTAGTTATTGTTTGTTAAATCATAACGTCTATGGTAATATTGGTGTTTGTTAATTAAACATGACATCAAAAAAATTTGTATTACAAGTATACTCAGAATATTTTACCAAGGCTTAGAAAAGTATATGTGAAGAATAAACATACGTGTATACGTAACGTAAGTACTCTCCCAATATATAATAAAAGAAGAGAAGTTTGATAAATATTAAATAAATTTAGATAAAATAAATTACAGTTTGACTGTTGCTAATATCCTACAATCTTGAGAAAAAAATATATTTTAGAAAACTAACATTAGAAGAGCAAACTAAAAGTATGGTAATAGAAAATAAGTTGTTACAAATTTTTTGTGCATATTTTGTGAAAAATATATTTAGTTTGAAATAATTTAAAGTTTGTGAATACAGTAAATACAATATCTGTATTTTGATTTTTTTTTTCAAAAATTAATATATTAATCTAGCTACTTGTATTTGTAATTTTCAGAAAGTGATGAATTCGTTTGTAGCAGAATATATGCCAATAGAACAGTAGTGTTCACGATATTAGATGAGGACAAGAAATGATATTGGCTTATATACTATATAATATATATTATATAGATAATCGTTATTATATGAAAAAAAGTTTGCAAAGCATATCCTTTAAAGTTAGAAAGATATACAATTTTATCATCATTGAACTTAAATATATAGTATTAAAAATGATTCATGTTCCATTTGCTATGAAATTTAAAAATTTATGTCATATCTTGTTAAAATTTGTTTAATATATGATAAAAATTTGTGGATTTTCATGTGTTTTATTTTTAATAATTGATTTCACAACCAAGTGTAAGCATAATTTTCACCGATCATATTTTTTAGAGTGGCATAAATGTGGAGCTTATTATTATTTCTGTAAATATGTGCTAAAATTTTTCAATTGGAGTCGACGTATTTCATTACAAATGAATGGGTGAAGAAAAAAAAGTTATTTACTATGGTCCCGTCGGACTACGAATCTCTTAACCCCATTTTCGTAGGATATCACTCAGTGGTCATAGCCGGTCTTGACATAGTGGATGACGAACCCATGGCTGTATATAGTAATGGTGATCTTCAGGATGATAATGGATATATTTATGTATCTCTTGCCACTTTGCATATATCTGTGGGTGTAGATACATTACATAAAAAAGTTTTGTTCAAGAGTCATTTGAGTTCATGCATTTTCTAACTAATTTTATCGCCATAGATATGGATATGAATGAGGATGAGGATTAGAATGACGATAAGAAAATGGATGGGAAAAAGTTTAGGAAGCCAAAGAAAAATAGAAACCAAAAGAGAAACTGGAAGAGGAGATAGTACACAAAAAGGTCTACTAGTTTTAGGTATTTTGTTGCTGGTACAAATATCCTAAAAGAACATCATTCTTTCATATCACACTACAAAAATGTATAGTGTAATATTTTTTTTTGTAGCCACTTGCACATGAAAGCCTTAAAAGGTAAATAAAAGTAATACAACCAGTAATTTAGAAATGTTATCAAATATGAATATTATTGGATTTGATATTTTCAGTTTGTTTTTTATTGTAATTTGATTTTAAAGTATTTTAAGAAATTTCGTAGGATTTTATTACAATATATGTAATATTGAATAA